AAAGTGCAATTAACATTTTGTATTTAAAGGTAGTGCCCCCAATAGAAATTAATAAGTGCCCCCAATAACTTTTTATAAGGAAACCATTAAATGCAAATATATTGCACAACTTTTACAAATTAGTGCAGGTCATTTTTATACATTTTATTCTTAAGCAACTAAATAATAAGAAAAGACTAGATCACTATTGTGTTCTCTATGTGATACTTTTATTGTTTATACAATAATCCCAATACTTTTTTTTAACTGCCTAATAAGTCAGTAGCTATGTAAAAGTAGATGTACTTAATACGTAGTACATTAAGAATGAAGTGCTCACTTTCAAAAAATGAATTCGTGATATAAGATTCCCTCTCTTCCTAAATAAATTCTCACTTTAATTGTGCAAGGAGATTAAAAAATAATGCCTCATAAAAGGAGTAAAAGACAAAAACATATGAAATTATCTTCTAAGAGTGAATGATTTTATAAGGGATAAATAACAATAGTCATATTTGAAAGAAAAAAAATCATTAAAAGTTAGTAGATGATACTGAGTTGTAGAGAGATAAAAGTACCAATACAAATAGCATAATATATATTTAATATTGATTTCTTTAAAATTAAATGGGAGATAAATTTAGATTTGATGAAAGTGGAAACTGTGAAGAATAGTTAGGAATATACGAAGTGTTTTATCAGATTATACAACATTATAGCATTATTTGAACTAAATTTGTATTTACAATAAAAAAACTAAATATATGTTTATTTTGTCATATTTTACATTTCCATATACTTTACTATTTAATCATACTGGGTAGCAAGTAGGGGTTCACACAGGTTTGGAACGGTTCGGATTATGGTTATCCCGGTCCCAATCCGATAATCATAGAAACGGGGCAACAGGACGGGACAGGATGGGACAACGTTTTAATTGTACGGATGAAATAGGTACAATTTCAGGATATTTTGAAATGGGACAACGAGACCATGATTTTTCTCCAACTCTAGTAGTCATTGCCCCCAATAACGAAAAATCCTAGATCCGCCCCGGATGGGAAACTCCCAATCGTTAGCGGCACCAAGGTCAACGTGGTGGAGCATGCAAAAAGGCTCCAAAAATAAAAATAATGGGAACAGCAAGCTCAGTTCCAAGGGAGGCGTTTCCAAACCCAAGTTTAATGGAAAATGCTTCAATTGCAACAAAAATGGACACAAGTCCTCGGATTGCAAGGCACCAAGAAAGAAGAAAGACTCAAGTCAACATGGTGCAAGGTGGGCAAAAGGATGAAGACATCATCCTTGCGGCCGTGGTGACCGAGGTCAACCTCGCTGGATCCAACTCCAAGGAATTGTTTGTGGACACCGGTGTTACCCGGCATATTTACTCTAACCGGGAGCTATTCACGGCCTTTGAGCCATCTAATGGTGAGAAGGTGTGGATGGGAAATTCTGCTCATTCCGAGGTTGAAGGCGTAGGCAAGATGGTACTGAAGATGACTTCGGGCAAAGAGTTGACTCTCAACCAATTCTTGTTCGTCCCGGAGATACGCAAAAACTTGATCTCGGGCTCGTTGTTGAACAATCATGGCTTCCGCGTGGTCTTTGAGTCGGACAAACTAGTTTTATCTAAGTCGGGAATGTATGTGGGGAAGGGGTATGCAGTTGATGGGCTGTTTAAGCTTAATGTAATGACTATTATTGATAATAATAATAATAATAATAATAATATCTCTTTTGCTTACTTGCTTGAGTCTTCCAATGTTAATTTTGATTCTATACGTAGATTAATTAACATGGAACACATTCCTAAATTCGCAATTGATGAGAAGCACAAATGTGAAGTTTGTGTCGAGGCAAAACTAACGAAAACGTCTTTCAAATTGATCGAAAGGAAAACGGGACCACTAGAATTAATTCATAGTGACGTTTGTGATTTTAAATCAATACAAACACGTGGCGGTAATAAATATTTTATTACTGTTATCAATGATAGCACTCCCTATAGCTATGTTTATTTATTAAAAAATAAACACAAAACAATCGATAAATTCATTCTTTATAAGAATGAAGTGGATAACCAACTTAATCGACAGATTAAAACTGTTAAAAGTGATCGAGGTGGTGAATATGAAGCATCAATAAGTGACTTTTGAGCGAGCGTGTGTATAGTACATGTACGTACCGCACCCTATTCACCTCAATCAAACGGTGTTGCCGAACGAAAGAACCGCACATTGAAAGATATTGTGAATGCGATGCTAGTAAGTTCGGGTCATTTTGGGGAAATTTTTTGAGTGGGGTCCACTTCCGATTTGGGTCGGGTCAAAGTGGTTTCGGATTGTTCTTTCTTAGGGCTACAATTTGATATATGGTACGCTCAAAACGGATAACGGGTGGGTGAGAAATTGATTCTCGAAGTTCACTCGTTGAAATGGAGAAAACTAGGAAAAGGTGAATTTCTAGTGTGGTTTTTTGACTTTTTCCCACACCGGAAAACCTAAGGAGTTAAGATTCCCAAGGGTAAAGGCTCTCTCTCGCGCGCAGGGGGTGCGAATCAAATCTCGAAATCGGAGAACAAAAAGCGCGACTTGCGTGCGCGTCCGACCTGCGGACATGAATGTCGTCCGAAAATCTATCTTCTAAAACTGGCCATTTACGCACCCAAATCCACCCCTATAAAAGGCTGGCAGATGGTTTACAACAACACACACTTGATACACGTGTTGCGGACACGAATGCCGTCAGAAAAGCTTTGACTATTTCTGCTTCATCTATTTTCTGTTTTTCTTTAGTCATTTTATTTAATTAATTTTTTATTAATTAATTTTCTTTGTTTTTCGAAACACACCCAACAAGTATGAGTGGTATAAAATTTAAACAATTGTAATTTACATAGATGACTTGGTGTTTTTTAATTAGATTAGACTAAAACATATCATACCATATTGAAATTAGACGATGGGAAAATGCACATATATACACACAAATGAGTGGCGAAAAGAAGAATAAAGGAAAAGGCAAAACACTGAAATTGTGCAGGTGGTTAGCCACGTATGCGTTTCAACCGGCTAACTGGTTGTTAACGGGCTAAAGGGTGGATTTGACTATTTTTCTAAAGTTTGTGGACTTAATTGAGTGTTATTTTAGTTCGGGGGTCTAATTGACTTTTTTACATACTACGAGGGTCAATTTGATAGTTTTCCCTAATAAAAAATAGAGGATGGTTTACCAAATTGATAAATAAAAAAACTCGAAATAAATTGGTAAAAAACAAAGTTCTGGTGACAAATTGGTCAAATTTTTGTGAGTGACATTTAGACCTCATTTTAAAATTCCTGACATTTAGTCTCCTAAATATTGTGAAGTTGACATTTTCAGATCTTTTGTTGTGATTTTGTCATTAAAAATGGATGATTAAACACGTTAACGAAGGTGTTTGACAAATAGCAATTGGCTATTAGGCTATTAGCTAATAGCCGGTTGAATCAGTAGATTGATACTAAGATATTCTATTAGTTACTTTTAACCAACCACTTTCATTAGCTTTTTGAAGTAAAATGTTTAGTAACTTAGATGCTTGCAATTAGCTATTAAGACATAAAATGACTATTAAGAATATGAATTTAGAAGTATATATTTACTTTAACTATTTCTTTTGTTTTTTAATAAGTTTTGGAAAAATATTTAAAAACGATATTTACTTTTATTTTACTCCGTATATAACTAGTACCACTAGCATTTTTAACACATGTACATTTACACGAGCACACATATAAACTCATTTATTTTTAGTATTAATATTTTAAATATGACTCTTTTGTTAGTTTTTTTAGATGACACTCCATATAAAATTGAAAAAATATTCATACTTAAAAATTAGTAAAGATTTCATAGCGATTTTATGAAGTATAATTTATTAAATTCTAGTAAAGTTTTAGTTTTCACAATACCTAATTGACATAAATGTCAAGAATTCTAAATTGAGGGCTAAAATTATCTCACTCACAAAATATTGACCAATATGACACATTGTCACATGAGCTTTATTTTTTACGAATTTATCTCCGGAAGTTTTTTTTAACAATTTGGTAAACCACTCTTATTTTTACCAATTTGATTATTTGGCTCCATGGGAAAATGTCACAAATTTGAATAAGGACATCTAAATGACCCTAAAAGTCAAATTTAGGGCATCTAACAACTTCAAACTAAGCAAATGTGCATCCCAAAAGCAACGATATCCTATATACTTTCTTTTGTGCACGATTTTATAGAAAATTTGCACTAGCTGCCATTACATTACATATCTGTCAAGTGAGAAGACATATTATAGGTATAGTCATTCCAACCCCCACCCCCTGTGAGAATTAATAGGCTAATATAATTAGGAATCTACCTAATAGATATTTAGGAATCAAATATGATGGCATCGAAGTCCGGTTTGGTGACGCAAAATTGGAAGAAAAGGTCACACCGGAAGAAACGGAGGTGATTGCCGGCAGCGTTCCAAAGGAAAGAGGAGAGCCGGTGGATGCCATGCTGCTGACGGTGGCCGACGACGTGAAAGGGGCTGTCGTCGTCGAGCTGGTGGCTGTGGAAGACGTCGAGGCTGAAGAAGACATCTTGGCCGAGTGTCTGGAGAAAATCTGTGCTCACCGGCGGCGGCGAAGAGTGTTAGGCGGCGCCGAGATAAAGAGAGAGAGCCGAAAAAAAATTTAGGGTATAACCTGTGCTCTTGATACCATGTGAGAATAATGAAACAGGTTGCTCTCTAAGGAGCCCTGGCAGATATATTTATACTAGAAGAATTTAATGCAAAGTACAATAGTAGTCCTAGTATAATTCTATTACCCCCCACATACGTTGTATAGCAGCCAACATTAATGAAGAAAGTTTGGACTGACGAACAGAAGCATCTATTGATAGGAGGGCTGTGTTTTTACATTTGCAAAAGGATTGACAGACTGAACCAATACCCAAGTCCCCCCCCCCCCCCAATACTAACTTTAGTGTTTGTTTATGTACAATAAAGAACTAACATATCGCACACTTTCTGTTAGACAAAACAATAAGAGGAGGGCATCACACAAAACCTGCTGGATCCATGCTCTGACTCGGGCTTGCCGAACGCCTTCTATAAATATCATCAAAGGGGAGATTGAATTCTCCAACAGATTCTTCCATGAAGAACGTTCCCGTCATCACTCTATTTGATCCGCTCCTCAAATCCAGATTTTCCTGCTCATCCTCTGCACTTCTGTCCGAGAAGTTTACATAATAATTGTGAGGGTTGGGATGGTTGAAAGTGGGAGGTGGCTCCAGAAAGCTTGTTTGAGGGCCGCCACCACCACGTTCAGAAGTAGGAGGTTCAAGAAAGCTTGTCTGTGGCCCCAGCACTTGTGGTCTACTCCTGGCCCACCAGTCCTGTCTCACAACAGATGGTTCCGCATCATCATAATCTTGATGATGCTGATGATGAAGCACACTTTCCCGAATGAGAGGAGCCGATGTTGAAGTGTATAGGTAACTCCGCGTCCTATCATCAAATTCGTTTTGCGCATAAACGGGCCCGGCCCAAACATCTTCAGGTCCCACCTCAAAGTGATCAGGTTGGGCATCACTCAGAGAATTGGCCGTGTGTAATGTGTAATAATGGTCAAGAATATAAGGAAATCCTCCATCCCTCAAGTTATTGGTGGGGGGAAAGTAGCCATTCCTGTCGCCACTTGAGCCTCTCATGATGAGATTCCATGGTGGGTGAAAGTTAATAGGTGGATATGGACCTCGTCTCATCATTTCATGCCCATACAATCCCTGTTCTCTGAAGGCTCTCAATGTCAAAAGGAATTGCTTCCCATCAGCATTAGGTTCCAATGAAGGGTAGCTATTGTGAAAGCTGCATATTTTGCAAACAATTAAATGATTGCAGCAATTTTGTGATAAAAATAATAACCTTAATTGCATTATTCATGAAATTCAGTAATTCACGCCACCTCCGGAAATCATTTGGGACCTTGTTTGGAAGTCTGACAAAGCAATCGAATGAGCACAGTTGCAATACTAATGTTAATGGCAGCCCGGTGCACATTAGCGTCCCCGCAAGGTTAGGGTCCGGAGAAGGGTCTCACCATAAGGGTGTATAGGAGGCAAGTCTTACCTTGCCATTTTGAAAAGAGGTCGTTCCAAGACTGGAAACTATAACCTCTCGATCACAAAACAACACGAGGATCTCTCAGTCACACGGTACGTCAAGGTTCCCCTTCAATGGCTGAGCTGCCATTTGAGTGGAATTTACGTGGGCTGAAATTCTCGAGACCATTGTTTTGTTGGACTGGAGGACAAGGTTTTGATTACAACAAAAAATGTATCAACAGTGCTTTTTTACATATTTTCATAAAATTAGTAATTTGTACCAAATGTATCATTCTTGTAGGCTGTAGCTCTTCCAGTTTCCTCAATTCCTCCCATCCCCTCGTTTCTCTTTCCCTCACATCACTCTTTTGAACTAAACAAGGGTTAAATGATGCAATAATGACGAAAATTGAGACTGGCCAGTGGCCTCTATTTAAACTCTTACACAGTGTTGCACTATAGAGTCCATTAAAGCCCACACTAGTAACACTGGCATTGACTTGGACAGTTGGAACCCCATCCTAATTTGGAAGCTTAATGTGAACAGGTAGAAGTGGTAGGGATCCTAATTCAAGCGTGGGTAAACAAAATGGTGCAGGTGCTGAGGTGCGATACATGGGGAACAAAGAGTGCGTAACGATCCCACACCGGTCAAGTATGGGCTTGACCGGTGGCTTTTAAGCAAGGTGTTCCTCCTAATTAGCCGGCTGGTCTTTTGAGAGTGAGTTCTACACCTAGGCTTATGGTATTGGTATGAGCCTAATATGAGTTAGGTTCGTAACAATTGGTATCAGAGCCATCCCCATCTTCCTGGTCCCGACACTCGGAGTGGTGGCCTATGGAGTGGTGGCTTGGACCCTGGGGTACCAACTGTGACCAACGATGATGTTGGCTCTTCGAAGCGTGGGGTATTGTAACGATCTCACACCGGTCAAGCCACCGGTGGCTTATAAGCAAGGTGTTCCCTCCTTCTAATCGGCTGGTCTTTTGGGAGTGAGTTCTGCACCTAGGCTTATATTATTGGTATGGGCCTAGTGTGGGCTAGGTTCGTAACAGAATGCAATTAAGCCAAAAAAAATGATATGGTGTTGAAAGGACATACCTCAAAAATGATTTTTCCATTTTACCCTGGGAACTCCTCCTGGTTCGTGGAGTATTAAATGGGGAACCATATTTGCTATTACCATGGTTTCTAAAGTCGAAGACACTAAAGCTGCAAAAAAAAATCAAATACAGATAATAAAAAATAGATAAAAGGAAGAAATATTGATAGAAAAGAAGGGAGATGACGGGAAAATAAGTTGTAACGGACTAAGGGGTGGTACAAAATTAACCTGCATACATTCCCAACACCTTCAACATCTACAGTGAAATCTGTAATGAACTGGAGAACATCATCCACTCTCTGCGACACAAAATAACAGTTAAACCCAAAGATCCATCACCTAAGATATCTTAAGTAGTCTCCTATAACTCTTTTGAGAAAAATATACTACGTATATGAGAATAATAGATAATAGATTACCTTTGGAACAACAAATAAAAGTAGGTAGGGCGTAAGAAAGATTGAAACCATCTCTTCCAGCAACATCATGCCAGTGTACTGCTTAAATGGTATTAAACTATTAATAATAACAATAATAACAAAAAAAATTATAATATCATAACAGTACAATCACCTAGTAATAATATATTAAAGGGAGAATGATCTAATTGGACACTACAGTTACATGTGAATCTCATATTTGACGCTAAGGTTTCAAATGGACCAAATTGGACACTATGTTTACATGTGAATCTCATATTGGACACCAAGGTTTCAAATGTGTCAAATAAGCATGAATTTAATATTTTTTGGTCATTTTTTAACACCCAAAGGGTTTCAATCTTATGTGAATGAAAACCATTAGTATTCTTTCTCCTTTTTTATACCTAAAAAAAATAACTTAATTGATGTAATTAGATTTAGAATATATAATTAGATGTTCCAAAATAAGAAAATCTCATAAATATTACTCTGTATAATGTAACTAAATTCTTAAATTTCGTTCAGAAATTTAATGACTAGGCACCCTAGGCGGCCGACTAATTCACGTGGGCGCCAAACCAATTAGACTAAAATTGGGGCTCCTAGCCACCGTCTAGCGCCTAGGCGGGGACTAGTCGGGCGCCTAGAACAACTTTTAGAACACTGCATGTAACCATAGCATCCATTTTGATCATTCTCCCTATATTAAATTATCCAATAGCATAACACAAACATCCAAGCCCATTGAGTAACAAAATAACGGTCTGTTTGGATAGAGGGCTTCGGAATGTCTAGTCTACTTGATAAATCAAATTATTCTAAAATCGAATAATATGTGATTGATATGCATCTATATCGAAAAGCAAATAAAAGGTGATTGAAATGTTGTACGATCACATACAATGTCAAATTTCCAACTATTAAAAATATTGAATATACATCAAGATATAGAACAAGTGTCTAAGTCATTCCCTCCACCCAACCAAACACTAAAAAGGTTTTATATCGTCTTAAGATCATTATTAAGAGGATAGATAAGCAAAGTGGTATCCAGGAGCCGCTATTGGGTGTGAGCACATAGGCATATGTCTAGGGCCCCAAAATTATGTGGGGCACCACTTTCAGGGGAAAAAATATTACTTTTGTGTATCATGGTGTATGTGCTTTGGGTGTGTGTATACTGTATAGTCACGATTCTATGGCAGCAATCAAATGGAAAAAAAACTAATTTACAACTTGGAAACACGTGTGTGAACTGTGAGCCGGTCAAAATTAATTTCCAATTTTACAACTCGAGATTAATAATTTCAAAGTTTAAAATTATGGCTCTGTCAATGCATGGTCATTGGCCCTCGTATAGTCATATACTAAAGGAAAATTTGAAACTCAACTAAAAAATCGAAGTGTTTTAGTTCTTGTATATAAAAGTGTATTTCTTTTCATAAAAAGTACTTTTTTAATAAGAGGGGATATTTTATATTCAATTTAATTTAAAGTAGATTGAGAATTGGAAATATTAAATTTTAATTTTGTGCCTTAAAATATACTCCGCATGTAATAGTTTTTTCTATAACTTTTATGTTACATAATATATTCTTAAATTTATTCATCATAAATTATGTTCCCAATATTGTTATACATTATTAAATATGCCATCTATATATTAAAAACTCTGTTGCTTGTTTTATAATCACCTATAGTGCTGAAATGTTTTTAGTTAATATAGCTTTTACTATGAGACCCTAAACCAAAGCAAAACTAAGGGCTTTTAAAGATAAAACTTAAGAAACAAAGAGATCAAGTTATACAAACATGTCTAAGTTTGTCCTAGAAATATAGACATGTTTCAAAATTTTCTAATAATGTTTTTTAATTACTGATCTACTACGTATAAATTAAGCATTTGATTTTATTTCTCTTGTAATTTTTAATAAATTATTCTATTTATGATATATTTTGTGTAAAATGAACTATCACTCCCTTATATCGTGATCTAATTCTAATTTTTGTCGGGCACCAAATTTTCTAAAGACGGGCCTGGTGGTATCAAGTAGTGACAAAAATAGCCAACCCTCCAAAGAATGGAAACCCATCAACATTAACATCCAAAACTAGTAAAAAGAACAAAAAATGGCCATAACTATAAAGTAACCAATCTTGAGCGGGAGACTTGGAAAATTGGAAAATATTAAAACAATGGAAAAAAATGGGAAGCAACCAAATAAGGACACCTGAAATAAAGTTTCAAACTCGGAGCGGACCCCATCAGTATTTTCTTTTCCCCGCCATCTCTTAGGCATATAATGTGTGTGTTGGACTGCTAGAGACATTGCCTCATGCGGATTATGCACAAGAAGTTCATCTGTCACTGCAGCACGGCTTATGGCTGTAATTGCTCCAAAAACAGCGCCATACCATAACAAGTTTCGTCCGAAAATCTGTAATGTTCAAAACAAATTTCTTCATCCCTGGACTACCACAATTAACATTAAAAGAATTTAACTCATATGCTATTAATTGATTTGGTCATTGACATTCTTCTGGACTCCCTTTGGTCATCGACTATGCAATTCGGACCTAAAAATTAGTCCTTGAGCGTATTTTGCTCTAATTAAGATGGGTATTTTTGTCAGAGGACTAATTACGTACAAATTACATAGCTGAGCGCAAAATTGATTCCTAGATTGGGTCATAACTTGGTAAATGGATGAAATTACCATACTGGTTTAAATTCAAATGTTTATGAGGATTAAATTTGTATCCAGATTGCATAGTCAAAAAACCATATTGAGTAAATAGCATATAGTTGAGGGACTAAAATCACTAAATTAGACATTTACTCTTAAATTTAACATGTTACAATAATACACAGTCTAGTCCTACCATATATGGATGTATTTATTTATTTTCTATAATAAAGAGGGAGTGGGCTATAATACATGGCCTTCCAGCAGAGATTCATCCAAGAAAGCAATGATGATAAGAACAGCAGCAAATCCACCAGAAACAAATGAGATGAACTTTGCGATCAGCGATATAATAGGAGAGGGGAATTGCTTCAGATAATCAGATGCATGTACTATACTGGTGTTCATTCTGTGCTTAAATAGATGGTCAACCTGTTACATAAGAATTATAAATGGCAACATAGCATTGATTAGTAATGATAATCAGTTTGAAAATTAAAATATCTTTGACAAGGCCATGTGATTGAAAAGTATTAGAATCAGTTTTGATTTCCTACCCTGTTTATGATCTTATAGGATTAGACTGTTTACCTATTCAAAATGTAATAGTGGGTCCATTACTTTTATTAGAGGTGTAAATGGTAAAAATAACTTATGTTGAAGACGTTTTAAACAACCAAAAGCTAGAACAGATTTTTAATATAACAAAACAACATTTTATAAATTACAACTATACGAAAAATTGATTAAAAGATACCTCATTGTATTCCCGAAATATCCACTTGGCCAGTGTGGACCACCTACGAGATGATGCCGTGCTAGGATGATTGTAAAACTGTTCAGCATGCCTCAGGAAGAGATAAACCAGCATGAATATCACAAGAAATGGAGAAACCAAAAACATTGCAATCCCCACAATCATAAGCCTTTTCTTTAATGTTTTAGGATCAGAGACAAAATCCTTCCGTACACAATAGTTTCTGCAGAGAAGGCAAAAGCAGTCAGTTTAGTACCCCCACCACTGTCATACGCACATACACACAAAATCAAAAGATAGTTTTGTTAGTAGTATTAGGGTTTTCTTTCTGATGCATCTGAAAAAGAGTATAAGGGTTAACTTTTCTTGAATTAATTGCGTCCTCCACGGCTCCAATCTTAAACGCAGACTTGGGTTTAATCTTCGTACACATTCGGTTTTAACAGAAATGGGTAGTTTTGTCAGTTCAGTAAATTTAGACATATTTAGGACTATTTAGTCCTCAGTTTATAAAATATTTTCCTTAATTAGGGCAAAATAAGCACAAGGACCAAATTGAATAATTGAGGAGCCAACTGAGTCCAAAAGAAAGTTGAGGACCAAATTGAGTAATACTGTACAGTTGGTATACTAAACCAAATATTCGCTCCTTAGATTATGTTCTACTTACAAATCCTGATAAAATATATATTTCAATACAGCAAGAATATTAGTCTAATGGATTTACTTATCAAACATGGTCTGCAATATGCACCAATTCAGTGTCCACTCAAGGGTCTTTGTTAGTATAAGACGATGTTGAACACCATCTACGCAAAATTTGACAGGACCGACACCAGGTACCCATGGAGAAATAGGAAAGGCAAGAACTCCTTTATTGACCATTCCAATCAAATAATTTTCTTTCCTCATCAATCGCATTACAACATCCTGGATCGAAAGATCTCTGCTCACACATAGTTGTTGTGAATTCTGTGATTCAACAATTTTATCAAGAATCGATGGCCAGGGCATGGTTTGTATCTCATCATCGGTGACGTGGAGACTGCAGAATACAAAGCACAGCTAAGTTAGGGGGCAGCACAAGGATTAAGATTTTGCAACCCTTTTTGTGGAAAGGGTGAATTAGCCTGAAATTACGCAACTGTGAAAAAATACTCCCTCTAACCTTTATTTAGCTTCCCGTTTGCTTTTCCACGTTCTCCGTGCACACATTTGACCATTAATATGATTAAATTCATATCATTCAAAACCCATGAAAACTTGATATATCGAAAATACATTTTGAGACAAATATAACAAGCTTTCACATGATAGTATTTTGTTATATATATGGTTATAGATAGGTGTGTGTATATATATATATATATATATATATATATACATATATATATGTATATATGTATATGGTTAGTATTTTTGAAATTCTGACCCATAAAAATTAAGGTGAGCTAAATACAGGACGGAGGGAGTAATTATTGAAATAGTGAAGAAAAATATATGTTAAAACAGTCCAATGTGACCAATCCAGCAACATTAGACAAAAAGATGCCTTCAGCCCTAACCTTGTTAGGTATTAATCAATTTTGTGAGCGCGCTCAAATAACAATGTGTGTGGTAAAAAAACTGAAGGCTAGGGCTGATGAGAAGAAAAAAGTAGCTACCAAGCCATCGTAAATAAGAGGGAAAGAACCATTTTCTCCACTCTGGAACTTCCTCATAACAGATATTTTTAAAATCAATAAATGGGGGTGAGGGAATCCTCACTGCTTTTGTCTTAGGTAGAATAACGATGCACTACATACTTACATAGTATATTAATATGTACCTGTTATAGTAAAAGTCACGAATTATCAAGGTGTCCTTGAGCTGAGCAAAGAATCTTAAAAAGCAAAAGATCCAGTATATTGAAAATATGCCAAGGTAACCAACAACAATGGCTTTAGAAATTGTGAAGGGAGACAATGGATGATGATGAAGAGCTTCCTTAGACAAATCACAAGGCTTTATCCCAGATTCTACAGCATCCATCCCACACTTGGCGCTTCGAAGCCCACTCCAATCAACAAATAGTAAGAAAAATCCAGAGAAGCAAATGGTGAATGCCAGGCCAAAAAGCTCAAAAACCCATTTGATGATGATGCACCATAGACCTTTTTCACAGTAGTAGCAGTATAGCCTCTCAAAGAAGAGGTCTAGATCGGAAATATGTTCAACCTTAAAGCTCTCATCATTAAGAAGGCCCGATGGGCTTTCACTACTTGGACTTGGTGCTCTGTGATAGTCAGACAACTCAATCTCTGGAGGCACGTGATCAAGTAGTCCTGTACTTAATGATGATTCACCACGCCACTTCCATTTGAATATGTTAAGGCCATGAGCAGCTTTTGAACCACTAAACATCATTTGTATAAGTTGATCCTAAGCAAGTCCATTCCGCATACTGGCGGAAATTAAGGCATGTCGCTGATATGATAAAAACATTCTTTAAGAACTACTTCAAGATTTACTGATGGTTTTTAATTTAAAACTTAGTCAAAATGTTTGAAGAAGAACCATGTAAGGTGTTGTACATTTGCCAGAATAATGATAGGGACACAAAAAAAATGAGAAATAGTATTGACAAAACTGACAAACAGAAAGATCCTATATTTCAACGCATCACATCACCTTTACATCAAACGTAGTTCCATGGAGGCCTCGTTTCCTTTTTGTCACTTTTTTGCCTCATCATTTTCCTAAGTATCATCACATATATCCATGTGTGTGGAAATGTGTGAAAGGACACTAGTTAAGCTTCAAAAATGAGGGAGCAGAATAATATCCAAAAGAGATTCTCCACAATTCTATAAATGCAATATCAAGCCCCATAGTTCTTCAGTTCATTCCACCCCGTGAAGGACCCGTGTTTTTTTGTTTCTCATTTTGCCCTAATTATCTCATTTTCCCCAACTGCTTTTTTCTCCCTCTCCTCTCTTCTGTTCCTTCTCATCAACCTTCTCTCCCACTTTCCTTTTTGAAAAAGTGGAGAGCAATCCAATAGTGTTGTATTGAAATACCCCAGATATCATATTATCACTTAATGTGCAACCTCTGCAACTCAAAATGGAAAGAATCTGAACTGACAAGCCTTGATTACTTCCCTTTGAGGAGTGATAAATTTTCTTGTGACTTCGTAAAATATAAAAGTAGTCAAGGAAAACCCAATGCTTATGACAGAAATCCTAAGCACAAACTCTAGCTAAGTGCCTCAACCTCTGCTCATACAGCAATCAACCCCAACGTAACTAAACCAAACTACATACAAAAATCAACATCACAAACAAGTCTATCTCTCAAAAACTACCAGAAAACAACATATCAAGACAAAAGGTTAACCAAAAACAAACTATAAATAGAACTTGAGAAAAAAAGAGACTGTGCGAAACTTACCTGCCAAAGAAAAGAATCGCTGTGCGACTGTGTGCGTCAATGCGCAGCTCAAATTATCACTATAAACTCTAATATAATAAAACCCCACACGAAAAGCAAAGATTTATTTATATATAAAAAAGATAAATTTTGTGAAGTTATAATATCAGATTGTCTGATTAATCTAAAAGTTTCGAATGGGTTTCAGATTCTGGATTCTTTCTCTTCCGGGTGTTATGATAAAGAAGAGAAAGAGAGTCCGGAGGTTTCTTAAGTTATGGTTTAATTGAAGAAGAGGAGACGTAAGAGACGAGTCCTGCTTGGACTTGAATCGCTTCTTCTCCTGCTCGCCCTCCCCTTTTAGTTTTTACTTTCAATTATTTAAAACTTCCTATTACCTCGGTATATAGTATAGTAATATAAGGCTGATCTTTTAAGCTCATGTGATTTTAAAATGAAAAGTTTAGACAAAATTAGTACATAATATTTACTTGTCTGTTGTGTACATAGATAATTTGACGGTTGTGTACATAGATATTTCATATGAATAAGAACATGATTTTATGTCAAAAATATTTATGTATGTGTACACATTTGTGTACACTAAGAATTATTCTTTTGAAATTATTTCAAAATTTGAGTTGTTCTCAATCTGGGAACGGTTTGCGGGAGATTTTTTTTTTGGAAGAAATCGGCTTAAATTGATAACACATAATTCAGGTTATGAGTAATCCGACAAAAAGATTCATGACAACCGTCGTCCCGCGAACCAGATTCGGAATTAATCACCTCCAATGAAGCAATATAATTCGTTGATCCATTAATGGGCACAAATAAGCCAAAGACGGTTAACTCAATCCTCTCATCACCCACATCCAATTCAATCGTCTTACAACAAGGAACAGCAACAACGAAAAAAGCCAGACAACAAAATAAAATGTCACTAAAGAGAAATAAAAAAGCAAATTAACTTGAAACTCTGTCCGAGACTGCCAATCCGCACGAGCACCCGAACGTTCTTCACCTTGCTTGCACTCCATGACGGCGGCTAAGGAGGGGGATGCACTCGCCACTTATCCGCCTCAATAGTCAGTAACACTCCTACCATCGGAAGCCCTGGACTGTTTTTCCCAACCGGAACGTCTTTCGTATTGAAATCCAGATCTTCTTCCTCCGTCCCAATCGCCATGTTTTTATACTTGTATACAAAACTCTCCATTCACAGCATGAATCCCCCGCAACAACATGAAGCTTTCGTGGAGGACGACTTTAACAGACCACGCTAGAAGCTCCAACGCTCCTCCTTCCGTCGCTGACCTCGTCGAGTGAAACAAAACTCCAACCAAAGCGAAGCCCCGAAGAGCTCGATAAAAAAAACCGCACTCCAACACAGCCACCGTCGACGACCGAGGCCTCCTAGGCAGCTGGCGGCGGACAAAGACTAAGTGTTACCCGAAGGTAACCCTAGAGCGGTTTGCGGGAGATTAAAAAGGCATTTTCACTTTTTAGGTTAAAAAATTGAAATAGGTATTTTCAAATATATGCTTCTTTTTTTGGGACAATTATTTCTAACCCATTATAGTATATGTTTTATGTTAAGGCTAACATCCTTGAACTGAGACGGGGTTCGAACATGTGACCTCCTCTTTGAAAGAGTCACGTACGGTGATGTCATCAGACCACATAGTACTTGGCTCAAATTTATGCTTTTAAATTAAGCATTTAAAACTAAACGTTAAAACTGGTACATGAGTGCTTCTGTTTCTCATTTTTTTCATAAATAACTACAATTTTGATTTAGTTTAATTAGTGTAACACCGGAGGTATGCCTAAGTAGGAAAATTTGAAAATAATAATCTCAACTATTGCCGGTTCGCTGACAATAATCCAAACTATTGATTATTTTTGTATAATCCCAGCTATATGCACCATCCGCCAATAATAGTTCATGACCAGATATTACCTCCTATAATAAGTGAATTTTAAATACAAATTAAGCTTAAAAATTAAAAGTTAGGATTATTTATAAAGATTACATGTTATATATCTTCTCTTCCACTTGAGAAACTACATGAATTTATTTATAGGGACCATTATTGGCGGAAGGTCCCTAAAGTTGGGATTATTCTGAAATAATCAATAGTTGAAATTATTATGAGCGGACCACCAATAGTTGAGATTATTACTATCAATTTTTCCTTAAAATTATAAAAATTAATGGGCTCCCAAAAGAAAAAAAATGATTAAAATTTCACAGTAAATTGACAGAATACTAAACAATGTAAGATAAAAATAAAAGAGTAGGTTACATTAATGGTATATCTTCGTCGCTTAATGGTATATCCTGACGTGTTCCTAATTCTTAATTTGAGAGTAAAGATGCGGATTGACTCCAATTTGATACTAGTTTTGCAATAAAAGTTGAACAGTTAGTAAGATTTGGATTCAATATAATGTTTGATTTTATCACTAATCTTAAAATGTTTGATGAGTTGTAAAAATGTTTTTAATTGTAAATCTCACTGATGGAGAATATTCTCATATATCCCAAGGGTATCATAATCAACGGACTAAGGATTTCAGCTATATCAATATTTAATACAGAGTTCAAGTCAAGGCCGAACTCGGCGCACGAGGTCGGGTCACAACACAAGTCCACAAATCGACAAAGTATGGAACCAAGACCGAGGCCGACCTCGACCCCCCGAGGTCGCGCAACATCGGGCTCCCAGATCACCAATATAAGGCCAAATTTGAGGCCGACCTCGAACACACCGAGCTCGGTACCAGATCTGACCTCGGGTACAAACACAAGTCAGCGGGAGTCAACGGATACAAAGGAATGACCGCCACAGGACAAACTGAACACTAGAACCAAGTCCTTTGGTGATGAAGTCACTATACCCGAGCTCTGACCTCACGGAGCTCGGGCCTCATTAACCAGATATGGACTTAGACGATTCAGCAATCAAGTATCGCGCGAGCTACAGCCACATCACTAGCGTTGTGCGAAAGCCACGTCACTCCAGCAGTTGGAATGAAGAATATTCTAGATAACACAAGTGTAGTACACATGTGTGTTCTGGTACAATTCTGTTGCGCATAGTGCCAATCAATCAGTTGTCCCAATTATCTCTCCAGTCACTTTTACACGTGTCACCATATCATTAGACTAGTCCATTTATTCTGTTAGGCAGGTGTGACACGTGTCTTCACCACAATAGAATATCATCTTTTTTACTTGTTGGCCAAGTATTTCTCTCTTAGTATAAATATCATCTTCCGGCTTGTTGAAAGGGATCCGAAATTTTTTGTGCAAACTTGTTGTTACTCTGATCAATTTTCTACTTGATCTTACTTATCACTTTCAGTCTCTCCTATTTTCCGGATTCTGGCTACCCCCAGGGTTAGCGATCCATCACTCACCAATATATTAATTTAGCAAATCATTTGTCACTACAATAAAATCAGGAATTAAAGCATAGCTAAAACAAACATCTGAGCGAACAACATGTGCCCTATCTAAAGTATGAGCAGCATGATTCGCATATCACTTACAAAAAGAGAGAGAAAATTCCTCTTCGTTTGAAGTAGTTGTCTAATATCTTCAATAATTAGATCGGTATAAGCGAAAACATCCCCTCTCTTGATCCCTTGTACCATCGTTTGCGCGTGTGATTAGAACTCTACTTCCCTCCAACCTTCATTAATATCTTCCAAAATAGCCTCCCTAATTCCCATTGATTCAGTTTCAGCTGGAGACCACTTCGATAAATCCTCCTTTGATAAATTCCCCTTGATCATTTCTAGTTATCCAACCCTAGGCTCTAACATTCTCGGATTCATTCACTGTTGCATCCACGTTAATTTTTATTGTGCCCGCCCTTGGTCGTTGCCACTTTGAGTCGGTACTCCTACGGAAGGGCTTTCGAGACCCTTGTTTTTGTGCCTCTCTCCAAGCGGACAACATGTTAGTTCCACAATCGATCACTATCGTCGCTCCCTGCCACTCATCTTTTCATATTGCATTGTTATGTCGCTTCCAAATACTCCAAAGTAGCATTATAAATTTATATATGACATGTTTTCTGGCACCTCAAATTCATACCCGAAATAGATGCTAATTATAGCAAGAACAGAAAGAATTTCCCAAAAATGTTTAAGTTCAAAAAAATCAATTGCTGCGGAATCAAGTAGTCATTGGGTGTTACATCACATTCGGCTATCTCTTAACCGAATGCACATGCTAAGCCACAATCCAAAAATAATCCAAGTATTTAAAGATTTAAATCTCAGAACAATTTAAATGTCTACATGTCTCAAAATGAATTAAATAATAACTAGGTGATTATAACTACTAAACAACATGATCTAACGCATATCTCATCAACAAGCATAATCATTATCACATGCACCAAATAAAGTGCGGAAAACAAAACAAAGGCAAATGAACAAAAATTAGATTTTTAGCTAAGTTAGACTCACTCAACCTCGTAAAATAATATAATTTGTCAAAATAGTTTTTATACATAAGTATAGTTCGAAAACCTGTGGTTTTTCAAAAAATACTTCATAGTCTCAAAAAACATTAGTCTCACTTTAGTAAAACACTAAAACACTAGACTAATTCATCAATACCATTCATAATTAATCAATACTCATAGACTTAATAATAATATTACAATGAGGTCGTAAAAATTTCTTTGAAAACATTCTCATTCACAAGTATATCTAAAAATCAAATAATTTCTCAAGTCTCAATTAATTCTCAAGTAATGGACAGAACTCAAGACTCCTTGAGCCTAGCGAGCACGTGGGTCACCGCAGCCTCCACGACTCACCCAGCAAATGTTGATCCCATTGGTGACAGATAATTGGAAGCTAGACATCTACCTTAAGTGTGCTCACTCTCTAAAGGGATTCAAAGCCCTACGAGTAGTAAAAAGTCTATATTGTTGAATAATTTAAACGTATTAACATGTCCAATGATCTTCTCTAATCAAATCAAACACAATAAAATTAATAAGTAAGAGATATAATTTACTTACTTGAAGGAAATCCTATCTTGTTCGTTGATGAAATCATGATTCCCGTTGTGCTGATCGATGATATTGATCGAGTAATAGATGCGTGTCCCAGAAACTAATTTGGTGTTATTTATAGACTTTTGGGAAAATGAATGAAGGGACATGAATAAATGAACACATCCTTTCCTATGAATATAACAGAATTGATACCAAGTAATAGTCATGTCTTTCCATCTATTTTAATTAATAGACACCTAATGGAAAATCAATCATTCCCTTATAATAATTACAATTACTCCCATCAAGTAATGTTTAGGTAAGACGGAGACACATTGTGTCATATTGACATAATTAATATTTTTAAAAAAATTAAAT